CACCTTCCCGGGGTTGGTGACAGGAGCCAGGAGGCTCACCTCCGAGCGCGGCAGGACGTGCTGGTGAGATGCGAGGGCCCTGCAGAAACAAGGGAGGGGAAGCTGAGAGGAGAAGGGCTGCCTGTTCCTTTCTGGGCCTGAGCAAGGGACTAAGGGATCCCGATCTCCTGGGTTCTGTTCCCGGTGCTGGTAAGGAGCTGCCCATCCCTTCCCAAGGCCTCAGCTTGCCAAGTGGCTGAGCTGGGAACAAACCCTTGCTCTTCTCAGTGGCTCAGTGATCCAAGCAGTTTGACCTCTGTCTCAGGTGACCTCTGAGTCACAGACAACACGACCTACAGAAGCAGCGTATGGCAGAAGGCTTGTGAGCCGTACAGCCACAGGCAAGTGAATCGTTGCTCTCCTTTCCCTGCTTTTTACTACTTAATCTGACCGCAGCACTGGATGGGCAGAAAGGCCTGGGAATCCGGGAGCTCGGGCCATAATCAGCTGTTGCCTCGCACGCACCAGTGCCGTCCCCTCCATCTCTTCTTTGGGGTAAAGCTGCTGGGCTGGACAGGCCGGCACCCTCCCTCCCGCGGCTTCCCTCCCGCCGGCACCCTTCCCTCCCGCCTGCCCGCCCTCCCTCCTGGGAGCAAAGCAGTGCTACACCAGGAGGGGAACATCTACACGTGGGTGATGTCGCTGGCTTGAGGGTCAGCTTGCGCCCTCCAGAGCAGGGTGTTTCCCTCCGCTCCCTGCGGAGGCAGCGCCAAGCCCTGCTTACTTCCTGGCTGCGGCCAGCGCTGCCTCCCCGCCCTCCAGGAACTCCCTCATTGTCCTGGGCAGGGATGAGTCGCAGGCGTTTAAGTCAATCACGTTGCCGCCATCTTTCTCCTCCAGCCCGACCCTGGGCCCGCCCGAGCTCTTCGTCTGGAACTGGACCAGCCTCATGGCTCTGCCTAGCGGGCTGCGACGCTCCCCCGGGCCCCGAGCAGCAGAGTCCCAGACCCGCGGGAAGGGCTCGCTGGCTCTGCAGCCACATCAGACCCTGCTGGAGAGAGACAGAAAAGTGTGGACAGGTCACCCGCGCGCCCAGACCCGGCTTCGTCCTCCGACCCCTAGGATGCACTGCCAGCAGCAAGAAAACTGCTCCTACGCGAGGCTTCAGCCCTGGCATCGCCCTCGCTCCCCAGGGAGCCTCCTGCCCCTGCCAGCGCCGTGATCCGTGGGGCAGCGTGCGTGAGTGCGTGTGTGTGTTGATCCTGGGGGGTGGAAGTGCCTGCGGGCTCCTGGACTCTGCCCCCACGACCCGCCCGGGCCCAGGCCAGGGGGTGGAAGGGAAAGGGCCTGCGGCGCTCGCGGGGAGCCTGGCCACAGCCCTGGGGGGCCCCCGCCTCACCCGCCGGCCGTTAGACGCTGTCAGTTGCTTCCCGTCGCCCGCCGATGGCGTCATCAGCTCGCGCCCCCCAGTGCAGGGGCGCGGCACAACCGGCGCTCCCCGCGAGCCCTCGCGGCCTCCAACCAGAAAGCGGTTTCGCGCCTTGCTGCCAATCAGATTCCCCGCCGCGGCTAAGTCCCGCCCACTACGCCCAACTCCTCTATAGGTCGGTTCTTATGGCGACGGGGGACGCCACGACGCCAGGGGCCTAGCGCCCCCTTGTGGGCAGCAGGAGCAGAGCCAGGGCCAGGGCTGAGGGGCGCCACATCATCGGCCCCGGGTCGGCCCCGTGCCTGGCGCCTCCGGGGAGCCCTGAGGGAGGGCAGCCGTAGCAGGCTGGTCCCACCACGCGGCCAGGGGCCGTGACCCCGCCATTGGGGTGCAGTTGCCAGTAGCGTCTGCACCAGGTGCGAGACCTCTCCACTCTCCAGAGCCCAGAGCAGCCTGGACCCACCGCGGCCACTCACAAGCCCTGGGCCGAGCCCCCGGGCCCCGGCTGTTGCCAACACATGAGATATTTTAGAGCGACTCAGTGCCAGTGCCCGTCTCATGCGGGGCTGTGAGCAGCTGATTTGGCGCTAGGATCCAAGCGCAAAGGACCAGGCGCCGCCGCGTTTGAAACCAACCCTACAATTTGCGCGTCGGCTGGTGACGCCCGCCACGCGGGCTCCTCGGACCCCGCACGACCTGACGCCAGCCCGCCGCGGGCGTAGCGGTCGCCGCCACACTGAGGAAAGCTGAACCCGGCGGTTCTCAGCCACGCTCCGACGTCTGTCTCGATGTGGGCTGTTGTGCTTTGTACGCCAGCTGTCGTATTCCCAGGAGGGGAAGGGGTGAACCTAGTGGCTGGCACCTTTCTAGACTCCTGGAAATGCCAGCTCCTTGATAGACACTCATCGGGGTGTCTTGAGATCCTCTCAGGGGTGCCTCATGATGTTAGCAGTGTCGAGTGTGTGAACACGTCACATGGTGCCCAAGAAAGACCCAGAGATTTCAGGCAGGAGTGCAGTGTCGGAGCCATTCTTGCCCCAAGCGCTTCGCGACAGAAGGGCTCTGTTATGTTTCTGTAGTCAAAAAACAAGGGAAAGCTAAGAGCTGGCATTTCTCAAGGGAGGCCTCAAATCTACCGAGAGGTGACTTGAGCCTACAAAGGTGGTGAACCGCTTGTCTTACTGGGACGACAGCTTTGTTTTAACAAGCCAGGCGTACAAAGATTGGCCCACAATAGAGACAAAAGTCAGAGCTCTGTTCAGGACTTAACGGATGCCTGATAGCATGGGAAGGATTGCGATGCAAAATCTGCTGAGATCTGCTGATAGAGAAGGACACGTGGAAGACAGTTTTTTTTCCGAAGTTTATTTTATTAAAATATACAGTGACTGAATATCAAGTAGTTATAGAGAATGAGAGCCAGCATCTGTCTCCCCCAGTGGTATCGTGAGGCTGAGTGGGAGGTTACAGATACCAGTAGAGAGGCTACTGCTAGTGAGACATGCGGCCATTCCTTATACTGTACATATGTCAGGAAATATCAAGTGCAAACTCACAGCATCCAGAGAGGGCTTGGGGCAGGGCGAGAGGGGGAGACAGCCAGAATTCACAGCCTTCTTGACAATGGGAGACCAAAACATGATCAGGGCCTAGGGCAGAAAGCGATGGCCACCAAGCACTGAAAGAAAGGAGAAGGTGACTGAATCTTGGTCCTGGTCCTATTTTAGACATGGAAAGTGGGCTAGGAGCATACAGGAAACCTTGTTTTATCGGAGCTGTGCGGAAGAGGTGGAGCTTCAGCAGCAGTGGAGAGAGCTTCCACCATGGCATGTTCTCTTCCCCTGCATCTTTGGGAAACCCTACCTCAGAGTCAACTTCATGTCATGTCTCATGCTTGGTGGCCTTTCTTCCATCAGGCTCTGCTCTCTCACCAGATACAGCTCCACCCACACAGGGGTGGGGTTGTACACTAAGCAAACCCATCCAAGTTTGCAGAAGGACCTGAAAGTCAAGGGTGTAGGTCAGGGGCGAGCAATTATTTTGGGCAGAGAGCTGCTTACTGAGTTTCAGCAAGCCACCAAGGGCTGCATGACAGGCAGCCCAGGGCAGATTGATATTAATTTTCCAAATTTTTTAGGGGCCCTGCGGGCCGGATAGAATGGCCTGGCGGGCCGCATCTGGCCCCCGGGCCACATTTTGCCCACCCCTGGTGTAGGTACTTTCAAGGCTTCTTCTCCAGTGAAGGGAGAAGTTATATCAATTTGAAGATGCAAGGCAAAAAGTGCTCTGCTTCCCAGATGTTGGCAGCAGGAAATCCCAATAAATGGAGTAGCCAGCTATTTAGTATCTTCCCTGTCACAATTCAAGGCTGCATTTACTACACCCTTGCCCCTGATTTAGTCTTCAGAATAATGTGTCTCTTGAAAAGGTGCTACCAACCCAGCACTTCTTTTCCCTACCAACCCATAACTTGTCCACCATAGCTAGATTCCCACTCAAGGCACAGTCCCTTGCAAGGGGTGTGGTACAGGCTACATCAACCCAACAGTACTCCTGTGTACCTCAGAGATCCTCTCCTGAGTTAACGTTTCTTTGCTGCCTCCTCTTCTTGCCCTGGAGTGGATAGTCATTTGCTGCTAGCCTGTGCTGAGCAGTAAATGATGCCATCCTTCATACTGGCTCATCATGGGTGGGAGATGGATGGAGTCATGCTTCTCCTGCCTTCCCTGCATGCTTCAAAGACAGTATGGAGCATGAAGCATCTGTTCATGTCTGGACACTCAGATCCAGGCTCTGCATCAGGGTGTAAAATGGATAGTTTTTTTAGTTACAGTAGCTCTACGTGCTTTGACTTCCAATCGGCTTTTTCAGTGCTCATGTTCTCTTAGGGATTGATTGCCCAGGGTCAGGTCTCAGATCACCCCAGAGACGGTGTGTTTAATGTTTAAAGAAAGCAATTGGTTTAAAACAGAAAAAGTCTTTTCAATCCAGTGTTGAAAAAGGACCCTGAAGACAGAACACTTCATGCTCCATTTGACTTATGATTTTCAGTTGCAGCCTGGAGCTTTTGGGCATATTCATAACTCACTGCCTGGCAAGTCTTCCTCCTACAGAGGAACAATTTTCCATTGTATGCCTCAACTCCTGTCAACAGAACTTAATAGAAACAGATCTGAGCCAAAACAATGCAAAACTTTAAGCTCCTGAGGGTGGAAGTTAGGGTCTCATCTCTATGTTTCCTCAAATGCTTCATAGGGAGGTCCTTCCTCCATCCTCAAGCAGAGGGAGGTGAGATGCCAGAGAAAAGAAAGGCCACCACATCTTTCCTTTACAATCCAGTGCCCTGCAAAAAATTGGGTCATTTCACTCAGGACTGGTGGACTTGAATCCTCATTGGATGCCATCCATTGTGCTTTTGCTCTACCCTAGAAGGAGCTGACCAAAATCTGTCTGCTGGGTTGAAGTCCCATTTCTCTGTCTCCTCTTGCAGTTGGAGCGTGAGAATCTGGTGTGTGTCGGATGCAAACATTATCACTTCTTTTTATGTTTGTTTTCTTTTTAAATATAAAAAAAAGTTTATTTTTCTTCTCAGAAAGATCTGTGTGTGCTTCAGAGAGAGAGACAGATGCGCCTGTCTGTGTGCAGGCCAGACCCGGGCGTGCCAGCAGAGATGAGAGGGATTTCCCAATGTTCTAGATCACATTCTCAAACAGCTGCATGGAGCTCATGATGTTCTCATCCTGGACAGGAACGAGACAGAAAAGCCAAAGCAATAACCAAAGGAAAACCGTGGCTGAATGAATGGGGCAGGGCCTGGAAATCAAGAGATGTGAGCATTACTCCCAGCTCTACCATCCATCTACTGCACGACCTTCATTAGGACATCTCTCCTGTCTCTGCCTCGGTTTCTTTTCCTACCTTTTGTCTTTAACTTCTTTGGTGTGGGGACTGTATCTGTTTAATGTATAATTGGACCCCCAACATGACACTGTAATAACAACTCATCTGAGAGTTTATAGAGCACCTGAGATGTACTGGTGAGAGCAGCCAGGTGTTATCACTCACTTAATGGTGCATGTAATGCTATCCATGTGTCATCTCTTGATCATCTGCACACTCTGTGAGCTAAAATCTGCTGGCCCTAGATGGGACTGCCTGGTCTCCTGTCGTCTTCTGTCTGCTTCCCTGCTTATACCCTAAGCTCCTCCACTGGGTAGAATTCCAGGGCCTGCATCATGCAGGAAGAGAGAACCACTTATGCCCTTAAAAATCTATGAACCAGAGCATGAGGTGGAGCAGTGAGTGAGGCTGGAACTGCACAGAATTAGCAATCATTTAACTGTGGCATTTAGGGGGTCAGATAAATAGGGATCAGCAATGAAGCAGGCACTGAGCAAGTCAGTAAGTTGGACTCTGGGGAAGTTAGGAGCCCCTAAGTCCAAAAGAGTGGCCAGGGATGAGTTAGGAAGAAGAGGAGGAAGAGGGAGCAGCTGCGGGACCCAGGGGGCTGGGGAAGAAATCATAGCAGAGACCTGCTCACCTTTTGACAAGTCTCCAGGAATTCCTCGATTGTCACCACGCCGTCTCTATTCCTGTCCATTTTCTGAAACACAAAGCACGTACTGAGATCTGATGCACTTTTCCATCCACCACCATCTTTGTAGCCTCAATAAACCCACTTTCCTGCCATGGTGGCAGGCCCATGCCTACAACTGATCATGGAAGCTCTTGGCCTGCAATTTGGACAGGAGCCTTCATGGGATGTTCCTTTCTTTCCTTCCCCAAACCTAAGCCACTCCTGGTCCCAGTGCCTAGTTGCTTTCCAAGCCTGCCCAGGCTTCTGGTCACCTGCCTGGGGCCTGTGTCTCCAGGACTCTAGCTAGCAACACAGTCGCAGTGAACCGGAATCAGATGTCTCTAATGGAGCTCCTCCTGCCTCTGCAGCTGCCTATGTCCTTGTTCTTTTCCAGCCACAAGTGTAGCGAGTCAGCCCTGCCATCTGTTTTCCCTGCAAGCAACCATATGGGAATCTGCTGCTGCCACTGGTGTGAGCGGGGGCCTTGATTCTGTGTTCACACTGTTTCTACCCGGGGGTCATTCCACTGATTTCAGTGGCATTGTCCCCAGTTTGTTCCAACCTAAGATCTATATCAGGAGCCCTGGAGGCAAGGTTTTTGAGGATGCCTTCTGCCTGCCTTCTCATTAATTCATTAACACAGAATCCATGGTTCTCTCAGCTGTTCCTGCTACCCTTGTTAGTGAGGAGATTTCCCAGCTCCTGCTCCCACGTGACTGCGAGCTGGGTTACCTGGAAGAACTTCTCCACGTGCTCTATCGGAGCATCTTCCCTCAGGATCGGGTGTGTGTAGCGGCCCATCATGTCATAAATGGACTTCATTATTGCCAGCATCTCCTGGCAGAGAAAGATGGACATTTAGGATGGAGGATTAACTTGCTGTCACATCCCATCTCCAAATCTGAGACCTGTCTCACTGAACTACAGCTACCAAGCTTCCCAGGCAGGGAGAGCTGTGCAGCACTGACATCTGCACCCAGCTGATACCTCTTAGCATGGCTCAATGCATGGTGCAAACCTTGCTTTGGACATCCTCAAAGACCAAGTTATCAATAGAGACAATGCTAGGGTAGGCATATGTTTCACTTCCAATATGTTCCTGATGCATCCATCAGCAGCACCAAAGCCAATCAGGAATATTCTCCTCACCATCAAGGGCAAACGAAGGCAGGAATTTGAGGAGAAACTGGCTTCCAGCCTCCTTCATCTGGTGCCCAGTGTGGCTGTAGGTGCTTAAGTCTAGACTCTAGGGCTTGGGTTTGGAATCAGTCATGCAGCTGCAGCGCAAGTAATGGCAAAAAATGTGGTGTGTACAAACGCCCAGTGGCTTAAACCACTCCTAGAGTGTGTCAGTGCTCTCTACTGCATGGAGAAGTAAATCCAAGCCCCACACTCCACTCCCAGGGGTCCCTTACCCCTATCATCCCCTCTTCTGTATGACCCTGCATCCACCCATCAGGGTCCTGCCTCTGAGTTTCCACATCTGATTTTCAGCTCACTGCTATTCCCTCAGGCTCTGATGACAGAGACTGACCCTTACTTTGCTCTGCTTGCCTCTGAACCAGCTGCACTCAATGCTTTTAGATCCTCTTTCAGAACCTGATTCAGATGCTCCTTGGGCGCTAGCCCCTGAATGAGAAACATGCTCCAGCTCCCATGGTTTTTGGAACCCTCTTCCTGCTTCAGGTTACCTAGGCACAGGTACCACACACATTCCTGGGCCCTCCTTTGTTTCCCCAGGGACCAGTTAGACCCACACAGACTTCCCACACACCCCTAGGCCACTGCCTTCAATGCAGCCACATCTCATCAGTGCAGTTGTCGCACCTCCTTGGTAATGTAGCCGTCTTTGTTAATGTCGTACAGGTTAAACGCCCAGTTTAGCTTTTCGTGCACTGTCCCACGCAGCAGGATGGAAAGGCCAATGACAAAATCCTGCAACACAGAGAACACTGTGGGAAGAGATGGGTAAAGTGACCCAGCGCATGTTGGATGGCAAATGCATGGCCTGGTAAAGCTACCCCCCCCTCGTTTGTGTCTAGTCTGGGAAATGCTCTGCAAAAGAGGAGGATCTTGACCCTTCAAAGGGTAAGGCGGAAATTGTATTGATCCCGAGACTCTCAGGGTATTTTTCCTATTGATCTAGTTTCTATTCTCTCCTGCATCTATTTTTAGTTGCCTCACTCTCCACCCGAGCCCCAGTGCTTCTCAGTAAAAATAATGCAAAAAGCCTCCTCAGTTCTGAGCTGCTGCATGTGTTTGAGTCTGATTAAAACTAACATGATAAAAATCATTAATAGCAGTTGTGGAATAAGAGGCGGGTCCAGGGCTAGCTGAAAGAGAGCCTTTTGCAGCCATTTTAAATATAAGAATGACTTAAAAATCTATCCTTCTGTCTGTCTACTTATGCAGAAATATTAGAGTGATTTCACTTGTATAGATTGTCTTTATTTATACTGATTCCAAATCACTGTATATTTTACTAACTACTTGTACACTGTACAGGGATGTATATGCATACATATAGGTGTACATATGTTCACATACATATATGCACCTGAGTATACATGCCTGTATGCACATATACATATATAGAGACATACCTGTGTATATACATACACAAATGCATGCCTGTGCACCCCCCACCCAATCCTCTTTAAAACCTGTGGTGAGCTAAAAAAAATCAGGAAAATCAACCTGTTGCCTTTTTGATCTTTCAATTTCTGCCAGTTTTTAATGGCTACTGCAATGGGTCATAAACTGGAGATATGGGAACTCATCTGCTTGTATTGATGCACCTGCCTCTCATTTCAATCAATAGGCATGAGGCCCTAAATGCTTTGAGCCTTTTGCATAAACTCATCACCATCAGATATATTATCTTGCTATTTCTGTGAGTTTGGCCTTCTTAATGCACCCTCTTCTCACATAGACACCTCTGCTAGCAAGTGATACCTCAGCTAAGCCCGAGTGCAATATTAAGAAAAGTAGACAAGAGGTTGCAGGAAACAATGTTGGTGACCCAGTAAAGGTTCCAGTTCTGAACCGTCGTCTCAGCAGCACTATGAGACTCGGTGCTACTGGTGGTGCCCTATTTGGCCAAGATGTAATGCTGAGGTCCTGACCACTTGTAATCATTAAAGGGCCTGTGGCCCATTTTGGCAGGGCTGGGATGTTAAATATGCATGAGTCACTCCACACAGCTGTGAAAGGCATCCACCTCTGGGGTGGAATGTGGCCACTGTTTCACAGTGTACAGGAACTGCTGCTACAGAAAGGACCTCATGCTGCAGTCTCTTAGGCCATTATTATCTCCATCAAGTCACTCCCAATTCATGGCACAGCAGGAACAGAAGTGGGACATCCGTATCCACTTGCAGCTGCACACAGCAAGGTGGAGGCTGTGGGGAGGCTGCTTAAAATGATCTAGAGTGGGAGGCTAGATAGGAGACCAGCATTAACAAACCTGCCCTTCTCTGCAGAGAGCTCTGAGGCCTCCCCTCCCACAGACCATACCCCAGGGATTGGTAAGGGATAGGAAGAGACACCCAGACAGGGTTTCTAGCTCGGCTGGCCTGCCCTGGCAGGGAGGAGACCCCTGATGTGATTCCAGACAGAGCAGAAATTAAGGGAAAAGTCAGCCAACTGCCCCTGTCACTTGATGTGTCCAGCAGCACTGGGTCTTGTCAATCCATCTGTTTCAATGCATATCAGTAGACGTCAATCCAGATTTTAGCCTGACGCAAGAGCATATGCACCTCCAGCCTCAGAGATTCATAGATTCACAGATGCTAGTCAGAAGGGACCTCAAGAGATCATCGAGTCTGACCCCCTGCCAGTGGCAGGAAAATGTGCTGGGGTCAGATGACCCCAGCCAGGTGCTTGTCCAGTCTCTTCTTGAAGACCCCCAAGGCAGGGGAGAGCACCACTTCCCTTGGAAGCCCATTTCAGATTCTGGCAACCCTCACTGTGAGGAAGTTCTTTCTGAAGTCCAACTGAAATCTGCTCTCCATCACCTTGTGGCCATTGTTTCTTGTTATTCCAAGGGGTGCTCTGGTAACCAGACCATCTCCAATTCCCTGCTCCCCACCCTTGGTGAATTTGTATACTGCCACAAGATTCCCCCTCAGTCTTCTCAAGGAGGCTGAAAAGGTCCATGTCCCTCAGCCTTTCCTCATAAGGTCTTCCTTGCAGGCCTCTAACCATACGAGTGGCCTTCCTCTGGACCCTCTCAAGGTTGTCCACATCCTTTTTGAACTGCAATGCCCAGAACTGGATGCAGTACTCCAGCTGCGGCCTGACCAATGCCACATAGAGGGGGAGCATCACCTCCCCGGACCTGTTCATGATGCACCTACTAATGCATGACAAAGCGCGGTTAGCTCTGCTAATTACTTCATCACACTGACAACTCATGTTCATCTTGGAGTCAACGACTCCGAGATCTCTTTCCACCGCTGTGCTGCTGAGAAGGTCATCCCCCAGCCTATAGGAGTGCTGATGATTCCCTCTCCCTAGGTGCGGCACCTTGCACTTGTCCTTGTTGAACTGCATCCTATTGTTCTCTGCCCGTTTCTCTAACCTGTCCAGGTCCACCTGGAATCAGGCACTTAGACACCTGGATCTGACTGAAAGGCAAGACTGACTATGGGACTGAGGGTCTTTCCTGAGGGCCAGAGGTTTTCCAGTGTGGCAGGATGCTCAGAGGCCTCGCAGGGGTTTTCTGAGGTGCCTTGAAACACCTGGCTCTCATGGAGCTTTGTACCAGTACTGGGAGCCAGATGAGGACTCAGCATCTTACCTCAAAGCGGATGGCTCCAGTCTGGTCCATGTCAAAGGCATTGAACAGGAAGTGGGCGTACATGGTGGCATCTGGGAGAAGAGAAACAACACCTTGAGGCCAGCACCCTCTCTCCCCATCACTGCCTATGGCCTATCACCTCATGGGCAAGAATGCGTTTATCCTCTCACACCTCTGTGCAAGGCTATGTGAGATGGGAAACTAGGCACAGCTCGACTAAGTGATTTGACCAGGGTCACACAGGGAATCTGTAACACAGCAGGGTTTTACCCAGGGTCTGTTTAGTCCAAGGCTAATACCCCAAATCCTGGCCATCTTTATCCTGGCTGCTTGAAGGGGCCTTTGAAGGGTAACTCCAAGAGCTGAAGGTAACCTCCCAGCACAGTGAGGGAGGCAGAGAGATTTCCTTGTCACAGCCCAGCACTGACTGAGGCAGGTTTTGAGGAAACTTAGCTCCAAGTGAGAAACAGTTTGCAAAGTAAAAGTGTTTGGGGCAGGGACCACCTTTGCATATATGTCTGTGCAGCATCGAGGACAAGGAGCCCCCACTGGGGCATCCAGACACACAGCAGAAATAAAGAAGGCAGTTGTCACCACCTGAGCTCCTTAGTCTCAGCTCATGCCCGGCAAGGGGCAGCAGTCCACTCTCTTTTGCTTGCATATTTCCAGTCCAGAAGCCTGGAGACCAGCTCCAGCCAGAGACTCAAGGGAACTTAGCAGACAAGGGTCTTCTCCTGTCCACCCCTGAAAACAGATATCTCCAATGCTCCATCATCCCCGGGATCAAGGTGGAAAGAAACCTTTGCCTTTGCTATATCAACCCTTTCCTTCCCCCGCTCTGCAAAAACACCAGAGGGGCATGTGTCAGACTCACCTCCCTGAGGGAAGAACTGAGCGTAGATCAGCTTGAAGGTTTCCTCGTTCACCAGGCCACTGGGGCACTCCTATGGGGAGAAGTCATAGAGAGATTAACCCCCTACAAGCCCGAGAACTGTGCTCCTACCCCTTGTCTATCAGGCAGTGGGGACAAGTGTGACACAGCCTCTCACCCTGTGGCTCTAACCTATAAGGAACTCAGTGCAGGGGCTTGCACAGAGGCTCTTACACACCAGAGCGTCCCACCACTTCATAGTTTCATAGTTTGTAGGGTCGGAAGGGACCTGAGCAGATCATTAAGTCTGACCCCCTGCCGTGGCAGGAAAGAGCACTGGGGTCAAACGACCCTGGCAAGGTGTTCGTCTAGCCTTCTCTTAAAGCCCCCCAGGGTAGGAGCCAGCACCACTTCTCTTGGAAGTTGGTTCCAGGTCCTAGCCGCCCTGACAGTGAAGTAGCGCCTCCTAAGGTCTAGTCTGAATCTCCCCTCTGCCAGCTTGTGACCATTATTTCTTGTCCCTCCTGGGAGTGCTCAGGGGAACAGGGACTCCCCCAATGTCTGCTGGTCCCCCCTGACTAGTTTGTAAATGGCCACTAGATCCCCCCTCAGCCTTCTCTTGTGGAGGATGAACAGGTTCCGGTCCCATAGCCTCTCCTTGTAGGGCCTGCCCTGCTGCCCCCGATCATGCGGGTGGCCCTCCTCTGGACCCTCTCAATGTTGTCCACATCCCTCCTGAAGTGTGATGCCCAGAACTAGACACGGTACTCCAACTGTGGCCTGACCAGTGTCGCATAGAGGGGGAGGGTCACCTCCTTGGACCTGCTTGAGATGCATCTGTGGATGCATGACAAGATGCGGCAAGGTGTGACAAACACTTGGCAAAGACCTCTCTGCTGGTGAAACCTCCACCAATACCCCAAGGCACCTCTACCCTCCTCCCACTCCTCTTGCAAGCACCTCTCACCTGGAGGAATCTCTCCCCTGGGATGCAGCCCTCCTACAGCTCTGATGCTGTGTCCATCCAAACCCAGCTAGTGCCCTGTGGCTCATCAAGCTAAGTGGGAACCTTTGCCCATAACCCACTCTCCTCTCTGTACTATGTGGTGCCTACTCCCCTGGGGCTCAGCTACTCTCAGAGGGGAGGTGGAGCTGGTGAAAGAACCCTACAGACACTCACATTTTTGAAGCCTCTGTAGAGTGATTGTAGCTCCTTCTTGGTGAACTTGGTCAGTGCCTGCAGCTGATCTAGCCCTTCTGGCTGATGCCGGACAGCTTCCAGTTCAAAGTCGCTGTCACTGCTATCTGGAAAGACACAAGACAAACTCTATGAGGGATGAGGAAAGGAGACACCAAAGCCCAGGGTCTTTCCATTGCATGGTCCTTCCAAGAGTCCAAGGGTGCTGGAACTGCCACCTTTGATCCTTGGCTAGCCATGGACATCACAGAAGCTGACAGATGTGCTAAAAGAGGGAGCAATTAAAATGCTACTTGTTTAGTAATAGCTAAACAATAAAGCCACTACTGAGGGCCTTTGACCACAGTGGAAGGCCTGAGCAAGAGCTAATTCAGTGGTTCTCTTGGGGACCAATTTCAAGCACATGGGCAGTGGCACTGATATTTTTGGCAGCTGCCTGTGGGTGTGGGTGTGTGTGTTTATGAGAAAGAGAGAGACAGAGAGAGAGAGGTAGGCAGAGGAAACATAAGATTTCACACAAGCATGTGAAAGCTAGGAAGTGCTAAGTGCAGGTGAACCTTTTAAAACCACCAGGCACCCTAGACAGGGCTTTAGCTTTCCGTGAAAGTACCTGATGCCACATCCAGACCCACTCTAGCCAGCAGCAGACCCAGCTCCTCATACTTGGATTTCAGATCAGGCACACCCTCGGCCTGCTTCATTACACACCAATCTGCCACACAACAAGAGCTCATCACAGGTGAGCCACAGAGATCTAAAAACCAGCTCCCTGCATCTTCATCTGCTGAAGGCTGAGAACAAAGAACTGCTGCTTACTCTCTGTTTTCTGGGCACATCAAATCCAGTGCTTTGCCTTCATCTATCTGTCCATCCACCCTGCCACTTTGCATCATATTAACAGAGCACTTTCTGTTCTCCTTCCATCTGTATCTTCATCCATCCTGTCACTTATTGTTATATTACTGTAATTGAGCACTTGTCATGGAAAATCAATAGCCAACTCCCCAGTGGTCTTCACTGAGTCTCTGGAACTTCTTCCTTTCTGGGGTAAAAAGGCTTATTTTGGGGACAGCATCTGCTTCTGGGGTTTTTTTGTTTTTAAGTGTTATAGATTTAGAGACTTTTAGGCTGATTTTTTTTCTGGGCTGGTTTGGGTGGGTTATTGGGGTATGTTTGGCCAGGAGAAATTGTTCACGTTGTGTCATTCTTATGGCAAAAAAAAGTCTCAGATCCATGATGATTCCTCCAAGGATTGTGCAATCTATCACAGGCTTCCTTCCCAAGTATTGCATAGTAGTGACAGCAACTACAGTAATAGTTTCATAGATGTTAGGGTCAGAAGGAATCTATTAGATCATTGAGTCCGACCCCCTGCCCTGGGCAGGAATGAATGCCGGGGTCAGATGACCCCAGCCAGGTGTCTGTCTAATCTCCTTTTAAATACCTCCAAGGAAGGGGACAGCACCACCTCCCTTGGAAGCCCATTCCATATTTTGGCAACCCTCACTGTAAAGAATTTTTTCCTGATGTCAAATCTGAATTTGCTCTCTTCCAGTTTGTGGCCATTATTTCTAGTTACCCCGACAGGCTCCCTGGTAAACACTGTATCCCCTATTTCTTGCTGCCCCCCACCCCCTGGATGAGTTTGTAGGCAACCACAAGATCAACCCTCAGCTTCCTTTTGTGGAGGCTGAAGAGGTTCAGGTCTCCCAATAGGTCCACATAGGGTTTTTTCTGTAGGCCTTTAACCAGACGATGGGAAATTTAATATTTCCCATCAGTGTCTGCTACTAAGGTTCCATGATACTGCGCCATCAGAGACCTGTCCACACCCCCGAGTGAAAAAAGTGATATAAAGAGAGGGTTGGAGCTGTGTATGACTAACAAGTGTCTGATCCAAGGATTGTCAAGGTCAATGGAAAGAAACCCACTGATCTCAATGGGTTTTGAGTGAGGCAGTAACTCAAATGTTACTGCCTCACTCACAGTAATTTAGGGGTCCAATCCCTGCTGGTGATGGCCCATTTAGGGATTTCACTATACATCAGCATAAGACTCCTATGTGCAGAGAAGGTGGCCCCATTTGCAACTCAGCTTGCTGTGTTGGGCTCTAGCCAGCCCTGGATTCCACCTCATTCTTTCCAGAAAGAGCAGGATTCCTCCCACAGCTGTAACACAGAAGAGCCTCATGCTGAAGGATGAATAAACTTATTCACATTTTTCTTGCCAACCCAAATTCCCCCACCAGGTCCGTTATACCCACTTGCTGTCTCTGTAAGCTGCATGGCAGCAGGTGGGCAAAGGCATCTGGAAAGTTCCTGCAGCCCCTGCATATCTAAATAACCCACCCCAAGGCTCTGTGCAAACACATCACAATGTCCTGCCACCAGCGTCTCAATATTTTCCAGTGAATTCAACTTTGCCTGTGAACTGGAACCAGAATGGCAACACAGCCACCAAGTTCAGCTAATGCGATGAGGCCAAGTTCCTCTTCGATGTGCACTTGGACAATGATTCTGATGACCATGTCGATACCCTAGAGCAAAGGGCCAGAGGGTGTATGTTCCACAATGGAGAACTACACGGAGAAAGAACCTGCGTATGGGGGACTGTGGATTACCTGCATGGGCAGAAAATGATGAGAGACATGGATACAAGGACGATGCATTGACTGATACAAGCTGGCTGTGTTGGGTCAAACTTAGTCCTGTTGTAAACAGCTGCACCGAAGTCCACATGGATATGCCTCTTTCCATTACTGCTGGATTTAGCCTTGCAGTTGAAGAGTGAAATATGCCACAATGCTGCAGGTCAGCCATGGGTTTAAGCCTTTTTAAACAGGGGCTTAAATAATGTCCAGGTCTTTCTAGACCTTAAATGCTGAAGGCTTTAAGTGAGCGAGAAACAGTGGAAAAAACCTGGTCAGACCTACTCTCTTCCCTGTGTGATGGGCAAAATGGACCTATGGTGTGACCCAGGAAATGGCAGTTCTTATGTTCTTATGTAGGTCTTGTGCTGGACCACTGCACGATGATGAATTTCAGCCAAGGTCAGCAACTCAAGTGAATATGTAACACTATTGCCAATGCAAATCATAGGAGAGGTGGAAAAAGATGCAGCTGGGCTGCAGGCAGACAGCACAGAAGGATGGGCACAACAGACTGAGGAGAGCCTGACCCATCAACCACTGAAGACAATGCAAAGACTCCCCTTGCTTTGAATGGGGGTTGTACCAAGGTTGCAGAGAAAATAGACTGTTGGGCACATGGGATTCATACCAAATGCTCTTCCCTAGACCAAACAGCACAGGAGTATCAATGGGACACATGGATCCTACAGAACACATTCAGGAGAACAGACCCTGCTGCATCAGAGCACAGACAAGTTTGGGAGATCTGTGCATGAAAGGAAAGAGAATATTGTTATTAGTGATTTTTAATACATAGTGACCCCCAGCTGAGATCTCTGGACTGCCACAGTAACCACACAGCAACTCCAGGGCAACGTATGCTGTAAGGACCTGGTACAAGCTGGCAAGCTTCCAGTGAACTCAATGCCAACAGATGCCAAATGTGGAGGTGACCCTCCATCCAGTTTCAGAGCTATATCTCCTGGCCAGCGGCAGAGGTTCAGGAATGAGGCAAGAGGTCATTAGGTTAATAAGCCTAAGCGGGTTTTTTTGACCCCAGCTTCTCTGGGGAGCAAGGAATCTCCCCCTGTGTTCAGGGAAAAGGTCTGTGTTCAAGTCCACACCCATCCCTATTCAGCACAACTCCTGTATGTCTCAGCAGTGGTCATCCCAGGCCTGCTGTGTGCAGTGAGGGCTGTATGTTTGCAAGCAGGTACTAGAAACCTGAGCTTGCTCTTACCTGGCAGATTTGCTCCTGCACTCAGTCCATGACTAGAATCGTACATGGGGATCTTGGGTGTGAGTTTGGGGCTCCCTTACTGATCGTGCTACCTCAGTTCATTTATCCTGTTCACTCTCCCTTTCAGCATCTGCTCTCCACCACTGCCACTGCACACAGGAGACTGCACAAGATGGACCTATGGTCTGACCCAGTAAATGGCAGATCTTATGTTCAGCCCCACAGAGCCTTGGCGGCAAGGCACTCTATTCCTGGGTCACTCGCAGCCCTGCATGTTCAGTCCGACGAGCTAACTGCACAGAAAGACGTAGACAGATTGGAAAGAGTCCAGTGAAGAATAACAACAATGATTAGAGACCCAGGAAACGTGACTTATGAGGAAAGGCTGAAAGAACTAGGGTTGTTTAGTCAGGAGAAGAGATGACTGAGTAGAGATATGATAACAGTTCAAATACCTGAAAGGTGGTGATAAAGAAGATGGAAATAGACTTTCTCTGGCACTGCAGGGGACAGGACTAGGAGCAATGGTCTCAAATGGCAACAGAAGAAATTTAGGCTGGAGATTAGGAAGCACTTTCTGACAATGAGGTGATGAAGCATTGGACCAGGCTGCCTAGAGAAGCTGTGGAATCGCCATCCCTGGACATTTTCAAGAGCAGGTTAGACAGACACGTGGCTGGGATGGTTAATGATCCTACCCTGAGCAGGAGGCTGAACTAGATGACCTCCTGAGGTCCCTTCCAACCCCACTTTCCTACAGTTTGCATCACTGAAGGGACTAGTCCCTAATACCTTGAACCACCTTGCAGCCAAGGCTATAACGAAGCCCTTTAAAGAGCTTATCCTGGGTAAGAGCGAGGAGACTCGGCCCAGTGGGGGAGGGTTTCCATCTCTTAGCCCTGTTGGCCCCATGCCTGCAGGCAAAGTCCATGGCACCTTAGCTGGGTGGAGGGCTGTGCCCAGCCTGGGCCCCAAGCCAGATTCACCTAGGTGCATATCTATGGGGATTATAGCAGAGGTGCTGGACTCCTGTTTCCTGAGGTATTTGAAAGCTGTTATCAAATCCCTACTCAGTCTTCTCTTCCCCTGCTTTACAGGATAGACTGCGAGTTCATTGATCTGCTAGCTGGGACCTCTCTACACTATGACACTCTGGTATAAATCTAGAAGAGCTTGTTCAAAGTCATTCATTAACCTGGTTATAATGAGAACAATGTCTGACCCGGGGCACACCCTGC